CGCAGTCAACGCAGCTGCATCGTTCTTCAACTTCTCTGTGGAATCAAGTCTCAACAATGGCGACCGAATCTCCGAATTTTGTTAAAAAAAGTGAGCCATTGATGGTTTTTTCCATCGAATCTCTTGGATTTCAACACTAGTCGATAAAATCGATGGACCTAGTTATATACTATATAAGACGGTTTCAAATCTGATGAATTTTTTCGTGATGATTTCTCTTTCACGGCTTCGATTTGATCGTACCTAGGGTTTTTATTTTTTTCATTTTTTTCTTAATTTCTTAACAGTTGTTATTCATCTAAGAGCTACTGGAGGTGCTCCAATTCTGAAACAATCTAAGTTCAAGGTAGAGCTATTGTACATTCGGAATCAATAATCATTCCTTCCTTCGCGACTCACCAAATTTGGTCTAAAGTTGAAATTAGGGTTCTTATGTGACATGGATCATTGTATTATATTCGGTTGTGTGACTAAATTGTGGTTAAATTTCACAATTGATCTGTTAAAGGATATGCTATAAGATTTTCTGGTTTTGACCATGAAATCCAATTTAGGAGAAATCCACTAGTTGATTCTTGTTTGGATTTTTGTTGTTTGATAAGAATATTGTTTTGCATTGTCTTTGGATCAACTAGGCAACATTCATTAGATTTGATATTTCTTGTTGAGAGTGGTTCATTGATATAATAGAGGTATATGTTGCTCTGCTTTTGTGTGTCTTCAGGTTTCGGGGACTGACAAGTTTGCGAAAGTGATTGAGTTTCTAAGACGCCAACTTCATTCTGACTCACTGGTAATCATCTCAATCAAACATTTTTTGTGTAATCTTTTGAAACATTGTTCTTGTCGAACGTGTCTTGATATCTTTTGGTTGTAAGTTTGTCTATGTAAACAGCGCTTTCTCGCCAAACCCCGATGAATCAGTAATTGATCTATACAATGTAAGCATTTTCATTTTCCATTGGCACTATGCTCCTGAAAGTTGTTTTACATCTTGCATCCGTTAATTTTAAAACCCTGGTTTGTTTTTATCGTTAGACTTGAGAATGAAGAATCTTTTGAGGTTTTCCTATTACCTATCGGGTCTTTTTCTCTTTGCATTGCTTACAATTGTGCTTTGTTATGTTTTTGGTAATTGCAGAACTTTGGGTTTGATGGTAAACTGGTGGTTAACTATGCTTGTTCCATGGCATGGGGTTGAAAACGTAACGATTTTTCACCGTTACTGAAGCATGCTCTGAGTATCAAGTTGCGTTTCTGTTGTCTCGGCCATTTTGGTGTAGTTGAAACTTGTTGTACATACATAGGAATGGTTACTGATCTCTTTTACATGAATGCATGACAACATTTGATCATATCATATGTAACAATTTTTTCATACGTTTCCGAAACAATTGAAAAGGGCTATGGGAAAATGATAATTGGGCTTAGGCCCATGAATTGTGTACTACGAGGTCAAACAAAGAAGATTTGATGTTGATTGCGATTCGACATTGGATCCGTAGTTTCACAACGGAAACAGCAAATATTTCCAAAAAAAAAAAAAAAGTAAAACACTAATTACGTGGTTTGATCTGTTTCCCTTGAAGAAGAAAACAAAAACTAAATTATTATTACAGCTTGTAAAATCGAAATCTACATCAATGTTCCCTCAAATTTCTCCTTAATCTT